ACGATCTTGCCCTCTTTCATCCTGAATGTGTTAAAGACAGCAGTAAAGAACGAGCGATGTGTCAGACGGCGTTTGAACCAGGCTCTAGGCAAAGCGGCTGAAGCCCTCTGAACCTCACTTGCCTCCTCTGTAAAATGGAATGATACTAGTAAGGATCAAAAGAGATCATGCATATAAAGATCCCAGTCCAGTGCCCAGCACAGAGTAAATGCTTTACATACATCACCCGTGCAATCTCTATGAGGTATTTGTTCCTCCATTCCTCAACCCATCCTCTCTACATACAGTATGTAATGCCTACTATATTTTGAGTATAAAGATAAATGGTGGGAAGGACATGTTTCAATTTGGCGTGCTAGGAGTTATGATACATCCATGGTGGGGGGAGTTGACTTCGATGAGGCAAAAGGGCGTCTTAGAATGATGGAAATATTCTATATCTGTGTTGTGGTGGTTGCATACTACAAAATGTATACTTAAAATTGGTACATTTTGCTGGGCACAGTGGAGTATGCCTGTAATCCCATCCCAACTGCTTCGGAGGTCGAGGCAGGAGAATCTCTAGTTCAAAGCAAGCCTCAGCAACTTAGCAAGGCCCTAAGGTATTCAGTGAGACCCTGTTTCTAAATAAAATAGATAATAAAAAAAAGGCTGGAGATATGGTTCAGTGGTTTAGCTCCCTTGGGTTCAATCCCTGGAAAAAAAAAAAAGGTACATTTTGTTGTATGTAAACTCTAACTGAAAGAAGTTGATTGTTTTTCTTCTTAAAATTAGTGCATTATAGTTATACATAATAGCTGGGTTCATTTTGATGAAATCATACATGCATGGAATTTTATTTACTTCATTTCAATATCCAGCGCCCCCCTTTTCCTTCCCTCCTGCCTCCCCCTATTTTTCTTCCTCTACTCTACCGGTCTTCCTTTCACTCACTTATTTATTTGTTTCTTATTTTATTATCTCACATGTGCGTACATAAAGGTGGAATTCACTGTGGTATATTTATACATGCACATAGAGTGATTTTGCTAAATTCATTCAATATTTCCTCCTTTTCCTGAACCTCCTCCTTCCCTCTCAATCTCCTTCTACTCCACTGATCTTCCCTATATCTTTATGATATCTGATCCTCCCCTTACAAACTTGATTTTTTAAAAGCATCTAGCCAGGTCTGGTGATGCACACCTGTAATTCCAGCTACTGAAGAGACTGAATGCAGGAGGACAAATTTGAGGCCAGCCTGGGCAACTTAGCAAGACCCTGTAACAAAATAGAAAATAAAAAGGGCTGGGATGTAGCTCAGTGGTGCAGCGCCCCTGAGTTAAAATCCCTAGTGCCTCCAAAACATAATAAAATAGCACCTAAGCACCCAATGTGAAAATATTGAATGGACACATAACAGATAAATGAATGAATTGTCTCAGATGATGGCCCACCTGTCCTAGTACCACCATTGTCCCTGCTGACAGCGCCTTGCCTTCTACTTTCCCTTATCTGTGTGTTTCCCCAGAGATGGACCTTGGAATTCTTTTCTCTGTCCCCCCATCCATCCCAATCTCTCCTTGAGGGCAAGGAAAGATGCCCCTGAATGCCCAACCAGAACTCCCTAGCTCCTCTAAGTCTGCTTCCCAGGACTTCCAGGGGCTTGCCTTCCAGCTGCCACATGCCAACTCTGCCAACTCCAGTTCACTTCAGTGGTGCCAAGGTCACCGGTGTGATGCCCAACTACAAATCCATGGTGCCAGCAGCTCCATCTGCCCAAACTCTGGCTGATTCCGCCATCTGCTGGCCATTTTCAGAACTGCACCCTATAGCTGCAGGGAAGACGAATCCTGAGGACTATCCTGAGTCCTGAACTGGACTAGGGGCTTTAAGTTTTGTATTATTGAATCATCACAGGCACCATGGAAAGTGGGCTTTGAAATGTAAGAAAATGGGGGCACGTGGAAGCTAAGGAACTTGTCCGAATCCACACAGTAAACTACAAATCTGAGATTCCTACTCCCCAGTTTTAAGTTCTGTTCATGTGACTATATCTTGCTTGGGGAGCAGGAAGGAATATCCCAGATTGTCCCCTCTCACCACCTTCAAGAAGAAGGGCAGAGGCCTCACTACACCATCCATAAGTCACCTTCCAAAGAAGGTGAGTGTAGTGTCTGCTGCATGCCAGGCTCTGTGGCAGGCACTGGGCAATGATGAGAAGGTAAATGCAGGAAGAACAGGCCTCAAAACAGGGCTCTTGGACCTATGTGCGTTAATAAACACCTACTGTAAACTTTTTTTTTAATCCGTCCAAGCAGAAAACCCATAATTCAATTATGTTAAGTCAAACGAGGTCTTGAATTTGTTCTTGGACCTAACCACCCGTGCTTCTAACTCGAGAATAATAACTAGGGAGTGGCACATTATTTTTACATCTCATTTGCATATGATTAATCCCAAGTCAAAGTGAATGCAGGTCACTCTGTGGCCCCCAGCTTCTCAGCCCCTCATCTCCCAAGCCTGGCCCTGGTCCCCTCCTCCAGCCTCTGTTGGGCTTCACTGCCTCCACCAGCCCCGACCCACTCCTGCCCCTGCCAGCCCTTCCCCTCGGCTCCCAGAAGTGCAGTTCCCTTCCTCCTCTGTCGCCCACACAGCCCCCGCCACCTGGCCGCCCACCGGAAAAACTTTTCCCCAAGTTCTTAAGAAGTCGCGTAGGATCCAGGAGAGAAAAATCAAAGTAATAAAACCTCATTTAATTCCTAACGGAGGGCAGAGCTGTGAGCTGCAATTATCTTAATGCTGAGCTATTTTTACTCTCTCTCCATCTCTGTCTGCTGCCTCTCTGTCGTGACGCTTTCTCCTCTCTGCCTCCCTTTGTCTCTCCATCTCTCACATGGGTTTTCTGTCTCTTTCTCTTCGCTTTTTCCTACCTCCTCCTCTTTCTCCCTTACCTCCTAGCTCTGTGTCCCTATCCTCCCTCCCCTTCCTATTTGTCCTTCATGTCTATACCTCTGTTGGCCGGTCCTCCCCATCCCTCATGGCCCCAGGGTTGAGCAGTCAGAAGCACAGGTGCTTGGCCAAAGCTGGGCGAAGCCGGTGAAGAGCTCCCTTCCACTTCCAAAGACCTCATCTTGAGGCCTGGATAACAGGCTTTCTGCTCTCTCTCCCTTCCCAGGTGCAGCCTGGGTTCAGAGGATTTTTCCTGACTCAGGGTCTCCCAGAGCAGATCCTCCAGGCACAGGCCCTGCTGGTTCAAACAAGGCTCACAGTGTGCTCCCAGCCCTTCACAGCTCCCGTGGGCTCTGAGGAGCAGTTGGGGGTTGTGCCCCCATCCCTGTCCTCTCATCACTGTCCGCTGTCCTTGTTATCCCCCTCTGTGATCTTTCCCGGTACACCCCAGTACTGGCCCTTTGCTCCCACCTTGTTCCCCTGATTGTTGAGGTTACTGCTTGACCCATGCCCTTCTTACTTTCAGGCCCCCCTTGCTTCCCCTCCTAAAGTTAAACCTCCTAAGGTCAACCCTGTCTTTACCACTCCCCACCACACCTCATCTGGAAGAGGGGTTCTGGGCCAAGTCAGGGGCTGCCAGAGGTGTCCACACCCCTGGGCCAGCAACCTGGTATCCGGCTGTTTCCTGACATATTTAAGTCAACAAACACACAGGGACTTGAGCCAGGCCTGGGTTGAAGGAGCTGAGTGGCCAGGACATCCCATTCCTGTGAGCAGAGCTCTGCCCCTCCCACCACTCTCTGGCCCCCAGAGTGGACACTGACTGTGGGGCAGAACTTCATGCCCCTGATCCCATTTCCCCATAAGCTTGCTCTGGCCTCTCCCTGGGCCAAAGAGCCAGTGTGCTGGGGCTGGGAATGGAAAAGTTGCTGTGGGGTTGGAGGGTAGGGAGGACTCCTGGCTGTTCCAGGCCCAAGAGTGACCAGGAGAGAAGACAGCCAACACAAACAGAGCCCCAGGAAGACATACGCCTATGCACACACACACACCTTTTGGTCACTACAGAGAGTCCCACCCTGGTGAACAGCCCTGAAGAGGGAAATGCCAGCTCCTGCAGAGACCAAATGGCTTGGACAGGTAAACAGGGACTCTCCAGTCCACAGGGCCGCCCTCCCCTCCCCTCCCCTCCAGACACACACAAGCACCTCTGTAGAAAGGAGGCTTGCACCTCAGTAGCATAAGCACCTTTCTCCCAAGTTCTGTTGCTCAATGCACCCAGCTCACACATGTGATGGCACGTGTACTGGTAAGGCAGCCCCCCACCTGCCCCCTGGGCTGGCTCTGCCCCCTCCCCCATTAGATCTGGGGAGAAAAGGCAGAAGACACGTGAATGCAGGGTACATCATGGTAAGGACACATCCCTCTCTCCCCCAGGGAATATGCTCACATTCACAGCCAGGAGCCCCTCTACTGCATAGGCCCTGTGGATACACTGCTCCCACCCCTCAAGCTGGCACCCGCCTGCCCATCACCTTGACAGCCTCTGACATCCTCCCCCACACCCACACCCTCCCCCGCACACACGCAGCCCTCCCACGCCCTGCCACTCACACCCTAATCTTTAACACTCTGACACACTTATTCATGTAGACTCACACACACACTCACACCACACTGCTCCCCCCATTCCCGAGCTACAGCACCACAGGCCCCTGGCACTCACTTGCACATACTCCCTGCCACGATGTGACTGACACGTGTCCTCCCACGCACACCTCGTTCACACGCACTCGCTTTCTAGGACACCCCCATTCACAGCGTGACACGCGGGTACTCTCTCCTCGCCCTCACAGACCTTCCATGAAAGTCCAAGTACCAGGGCCACTAAGTGGTTAAAACCCGAGTCCCTGACTTCCCGCTGGCCCTCCCCCCTTCATCCTCCCCGCTGGACTCCATCAATAATGCAGCCTGGAGTTCTGGGGAGTCGGCAGGGGGCCCTCGGCCGCTCCCCGCTCCCGGCCGGGCCGCGCTCCACACCTCCTCCCAGCCCCAGGGGAGCACGCTTCTCGATGCTCATTGGCTACTTTCTCCTAGGCCCTCCCTCCCAGCGCCCCGCGCCAGTCCCAGGCTGAGGGGACGGGCAGGGACCCCAGATTTGGCACCAGAGGAGGGAGCCCCACAGAGAACGAGAGACCCGGAGGCGAAGAGAGGCACGGGAGGGAGGTAGAGGCAGGTCGGAATTCGCTGAGAAAAGACCCGCGGGCAGGCAGCGACCCCGGGAGCCGGAGGAAGGAGGCAGAGCCCGGGGCGCGGGAGCCGGGCAGCCCGCTGGGGCGCGCGGGGACCTGGGCGGAGACCCGGAGCAGGAGCGCGGCGGGCCCGGGAGTGGGGGGCTCGCCGAGCCCAGCGCGGGAGGCGAGCCCGGCGGCCGAGCCCTCCCGGCGCTTGCTCGCCCTCCCCTCGCTCGGCGCGGTATTTTTATCTGTGCGGGAGCCGCCGCCTCCTCCTCCTCCTCCTCCTCCTCCTCCTTTTCCTCCTCCTCCTCCTCCTTCTTCTCGCCGTACGCACTCGCTGGCAGTGCCACGGCCCGAGCAGCACAGGGGAGCCGAGCAGGGACGCAGCCCGAGATCCCGAGGCACCCGCCATGGACCCCAAGGACCGCAAGAAGATCCAGTTCTCGGTGCCCGCACCCCCGAGCCAACTCGACCCCCGCCAGGTGGAGATGGTAAGGGGGCCGCGCTCCGCCCCGCAGCGCTCCCAGCGCACTCCCCGGAGCTGCTGAGCCCACCCGTCCGGGGATGGGGTGCCAGGAGGGCACGTGGCCTCGGCCAAGGCGGGGGCGCCGGGCAGCGCGTGAAGTTGGCTGGAGACTCGGCAACTTTTTCCCGGCCGCCGATCCCCGGGCCTGAGAATTCTGAGCTTTGGGACAGGCTGGTTCCTGGGAGACTGTCCTTTCCGCCCTGCACACTTGCCCTGGGCTAGTTCCTTTCCCTAGGTTACCACCCGGACCACTTGTCCCGGTTCCAGCTCCAGAGCTGGTCACATGTGAGAAAACTGGTACATCACACATTGACCCTATTACACGGCCCAGGAGTCTGAGCCTGTCACCCTGGTTCCCCACTGCCCTGCTGGCCTCCAGTCGCACCCTGCATGTCTGACCTGGAGTGACTAGCACCTTGTTCTGACCTCTTTCTGTTGTGGGGTCCTGGAGCCCTAACCTCAAGGTGGGAGAGGTGACCAGTTATTCCCTCATGGGGGCTGGGAGGTCTCCAAATGTGTGTGTGTGTGTGTGGGGGGGTTGAGGCAGAGGTCTGAGCCCACAGCCCAGCAGGGGACACTTGTTGATGAGATGCCACTGGTTTCCAGCAGAGCAGTGAGAAGGGGCCAAGTCATTCTGCGGGATACTGGGGGTTGGGGTCTGGAGGGCAGTGTTGGAAGCTTGGCATGGGAAAGTGACAGTTTCAGCTTGACTCACCTGGTTCTCTGTGCATTTCCCTGGAGCTCAAAAGGGACCTAATTAACTGACAGTTGGTCTGATTGCCAAGCTAGTGGGGGGGGGGCAGTTGCTGGGAGTGCTCATTCCCCCACTCTCATGATACAGCCTGGCTCCTGCAGCAAGGAGGGCAACTTCTCATTTCTCACAGGGATTGGGTGAACTCTACAGCCTGAGAAAGATTGCCAGAGAGGGCCAGAGCTCTCCCTGCCTCCAGAGATATCCCCAGGCCTCTGGGCATCTGGGACTCAGACCCACACCCGAGCCTCAGTGTGAGGCCGAGGGGTCCGCAGTGCCCTGGCTTAGTCTCCCTCTGTAGCTGGATTCAGTTTCTTTGGAGCCCTTGATCTGTTCTTAGGTGGGCAGGGCCATGTGGGTGCCATGACCCATGGGCATCTCCTCCAGAGGGCCCATCCCAGGCATCAGGAACCACAGACCACAGACTAAACCACAGCTCCCAAGGTCTTCAGAAACTGGAGAGAGGAAGGGCCTCAGTGAGAGAAGATAAAAAGGGAGGTGTTAGCTCTGGAGTAGACATGAATGGAACCGGCCTGGGCTAAGAGTCAGAGACTAGGTTTTTTCTAGTCCTTTGGACTTTATGTGCTGTGTGACCTTGAGCACATGGCTGAACCTCTCTGAACCTCAGAGTTTTCATCTGTGCAAAATGAAAGGGTTGAGTGAGCTACAGAGTTCCTTTTAGCTCAAACCGCCTTTGATTCAAAGGCTCCCTGGGGTCTCCAAAGCATTTTCCCTGTGGCCTGGGCGTGGGGGTGGAGTGGGACCTAGGGTGTTTATCCTGCAGGTGTCTATCCTGCCCCTCCTTTTTCCATCTCCTTAGATCCGGCGCAGGAGACCAACCCCTGCCATGCTGTTCCGGCTCTCAGAGCACTCCTCACCAGGTAGGGCCCCTTCTTTCCCTCCCCATCCCAGACCCCACCCTAACTCTGATGCCTTCCTGAGGGCCCTGCCAAAGTCCCAGGAATAGGAGACGAGCAAAGACTGGGGAGTAGATAAGGTCTGGGAGCCCAGCTCCGCTGTTCATGCGTTAGCAGGGCACCTCCCAACACCAGGAGGGAGGACACACCTCCCTGTCCCCAGAGACTGAGACTTTGTGAAAAGTAACTGGGATTCTTTCTCTCTCCCTCTCCCCTTCTCTGGATCCTCTGTTGATGCTGGTCCCTTTGATGGCTCCCTCAGAGGAGGAGGCCTCCCCCCACCAGGTGAGTTTCCTGGGGCAGCTGGAAGGACGATGCCTGGGCCTTTTGGGGTGGAGTCGACCTGTGCCTGCATTGCCAGCCAACTAACAGAGGGTGCCACCCTGGAGAGACATCAGCATGTCAATGGGTACCTCCTCTGAGAGGTCCTGGTGCCAGGGCGCCCCAACAGATCCTCCTCTGCTCAGACTGACAGTAGGATGCCCAGGACCTAGGGTCCTAAGCCAAGCCGCAGCTTCTGGGAGCCCCCATCCCAAAGCGGCAGTGAGGTCAGGGCTCTGCCTCAGTGCAGAATTCAGTGGCAAAGCCTAGACCAGTCTGCCAGGGTTGCCAACGTAGGATGAAGTGGAGAGAGGGTGAGGGGAAGGAGCCTCTGAGGAGTCCATTTAACCTGGCTCTTCCCTTGCAGAGAGCCTCAGGAGAGGGGCACCACCTCAAGTCAAAGAGACCCAATCCCTGTGCCTACACACCCCCCTCGCTGAAAGGTACTATATCCCACCTGTCTGTCCTGTCTGCCTGGCTGTTCCTTGAGCGCTGGAACTGGGCTGACACTGGGGGAGGGGGGTGAAATGTCAGCTCTTGTCAAGCAGAAGTGGTTGCTTCCTGCATCACAACCCAACTTGGAGACCAGCTCTTTCTTGCAAAACACAAGGTACCCAAAGACTGGAAAGGGCAGCTGTGGCCCTTAAAACAGTTTGTAGGGGGTCAAAAGAAAAGACACATCCGAAGTGACAAGTGGGTGAAAGAGACTCAGTCTGCATCTCCACTGTGCAAGCCCATCAAAAGGCACCTTCTCCCATGGGTCCCCCTGTTTTCCCCTCCCCTTCACCTCTCATTTGAACAGATCTGCATCCAAGATTTGCCCCATTTCTGCTTTTTCTTTCTGTATTAACAGGCAAGTCATTCCTTTAGCATATACTGAACCCCTACTGTGTGTTAGGCCTTGCTGGTGGGTACTGGGCAAAATGAGTAAGATCTGGGGGCTGGGATGTGGCTCAGTGGTAGAGTGTGTGCTCAGCATGCAGAGGCCTTGGGTTCCATCCCTAGCACTGGGAAAAAATGAGATTTGGTTCCCGCCATCCTGGGCCCTTTGCCTCCAAGGTCAGCGAGAGTTCCAAGAGGGGAGGGTGTGTGGCCCAGGATTGGAAGGAGGTAGAATCCAACAGGCAGCAAGGCAGGCAAAAGGGAAGAAAGTTGCAAAGGGCGGGAGGTGGGCATCCCAGGGGAGCCTTAGGGCCAGATGGAGACTTGGCTTCTGTCCAGGGACTGTGGGAGATGCACCTGAGGGAGAAGGGGTGCAGATCTGGTATGCAAAGGGCCTCTTCCTAGCTAAGTGCCATGCGCCTACCCATCTCCACCTCTACTCCAGCCTGAGTCTCTTCCTGCCTGGCCAGCCCCCTCCTCCCCTGAAGAGGGGGAGGGAGACCGGAAGGGTGTGCTGAGAGCTCCCTTGGGTGGGTTTAAACTGTTCCCTGGCACTAGCCAAGATCAACAGGTGCACCTGCCAGCCTGTCTGGGCCAGAGCTGGGAGTAGAGGAGAAGGGCAGGGGTTCTTTCTTTTCCTCCAGGACAGGAAGATGAAGGGACACAGCAGGTATGGAAGGACTTCTCTACCTGTAGGGTCACAAAGCAGGCGTGAGGGAGAGGTCACATCTTTGCAGGAAAGAACATAATAATCTGCCTCCTCCTGGAAGTGATGGGGTGAGGGGGGACTGTTCCCTGGATTCTTTTTGGTGGGAGGTGTTCTGGGGATTGAACCCAGGGCCTTGTGCATGCTAAACACACTCTATTGCCCATCTACATCCCAGCCTGGGGCCTAACGGTGAGCGTGGGGACATGGGGTGAGGAGACTGGGGCCAGGGTGCTTCCCATGCACCTGGCAGTGGCCAAGAATTTGTCTCCATCTACACTCCCCCTTGGGTCACATCTTGAAGAATCTAGGTGGGGAGAGGCAGGGAGGTGGAAAAGGGGTCAGGAGCGAGGTGGGCATTCTGGGGACCATGTTGGGTTCTTGCAGATAAAAAAGGGAGACTTGCTGGGTGGGGGGAGTTCAGGGTCCCAGAAGTGAAGAAGCTGGAGGAGGCAGCCTGGGGAAGCTAGGGGAAGCAGGCATGAGGACGAGGGAGGACGAGGGAGGCAGGCGAGGTGAGGCACGAGGGAGGCCACGGGAGCCAGCGCAGGTGCTGCACACACCTATTGTCGCTGCAGCTCACGAACTGGAGTCTCCTCCCCCGGCTGGGGAGGGGAAAGGAAGCTGCCCCAGCTGCCACCTTCTCTCTCTTCTCCCTCAGGGGCCCTCCCTAGAGGGCACTGTTTGGTAGGATCCTGCTCCTTTCTGGGCCAGGGAAAGGGCCTGGCAGGCGTGGGGGTTTGTAGGGAAGGATTCAAAGGCCTTAGGGGCGGGTGGGCAACACTGTCTTGGCTGGGGGTGGGATGCTCCAAGGCCAGAGCTCTCACACTTGGTTCAAGGTGTAGCTTTGCTGAGTGCTCAAGGCCAGGGCAGGGCAGTTTATGATTTATTGCACTTTTATTACCTGGGGAACTTGCCCAGAGTCAGCGGGAGGCACTGGGCTGGCTGCTGGGGGCAGGGCGGGGCAGTAGGCACACACAATGCACCCTCTGTGCCTGTCCCTGAGCTGGCAGGAGCACTGGGCCTTGCTCACTGCACCGGAGGTTTCCAGCCAGGATCTACCCCCTGGACTTTCTGAGGGGAGGGTGGTGGGCAGACCAAGGAGCTGCTCAACTCTGCCCTGCTGGGCAGTGTCTGGCCTGGGGGCCATGAACTGAATGTTCCATGTGCTTTAAAATCTACCAGCCTTTGACCCCCTGCCGACTCTGCTCAGTCTCAGCTCACGATGTTTCCTCAGCCCTGTCACGCCCCAGAACCCTCAGCGTGGCCCTTTTCTCCCAGCCCCCTGTTCCTTTCCATCTTTGTGAAACTTTCCTCCAGCCACCCACACTGTTCCCTTCCTAGGCCCCATCCAAGCAGGTCTTGGTGGCGGTGGGGTGTGTTTGCTGCTTTCTAGGTCACCGCAGAGGGAGCTGGGAGCTTGGGGATGTGGGTCAAGATTGTGGGGGCTGCATCTGAACAGGCCACTTCCCCAGGCATGGACTTCATTGGCTGCAGACTATTATATCTTCAATCCAGAATCAATTATTCCTACTCTTGGAGCCTGGGGCAGGGATGTGTGGATTGGCATCTAAGACGGGGTGGTTTGGTGGTGGTGGGGTATTGCATGAGGACTGGGGTGAGCCATGAGCCCTAAGCAGGCAAGGTTCTCCCCCAGAAATGGAAAGGAGCAAAGCCCTAGCCCACAGACAGCAGCTTCTGCCTGGTGGATACTGTCTCCAGGACTGGCTGGTTGGCAAGGTCAGCTCCCCAGCCAGGGCATGGTTAGCTGCTGCTGTGCCTGTTGGGTCTGGTCTTGCCCAGCCTGGCACCCTGTGGTGTGGAACTGCTCTGTGGTGCCAGTCTCTGAGGGGGCCAATATCTTGGGACAACTTAAGAACCAAACGTGATCAGATTTACCCCCTGCTGCTTCTGCCTTGGTCTGGCCTCCAGCAGGCTGGCCTGTAGCCTTTGGCCCTTGAACTGTGTCTCCTGAGAAAGTTACCCCTATCCCAGACTCATGGGGAGGAGCTCTGGGGGCTGTATCTTGGGCCTGACTGACCCTCGCCTTCCGGGGTCCTCTCTGTGCCAGCCGTGCAGCGCATTGCTGAGTCCCACCTGCAGACCATCAGCAACTTGAGTGAGAACCAGGCCTCGGAGGAGGAGGATGAGCTGGGAGAGCTGCGGGAGCTGGGTTACCCAAGAGAGGAGGATGAGGAGGAGGAGGAGGACGAGGACGAGGAGGAAGAAGAAGACAGCCAGGCTGAAGTCCTGAAGAGCATCAGGGGGTCTGGTAAGCTGAAGGGACTGTGAGGCATGGGTTCCACCACCATGCATTAGGCGTGGGTGCTCCTGGAGGATCTTGGAACACCCCTTCCAGTACAGTTTCATACAGGTACATGGCAATGACACCACGGGTCCTCCCCTCCTCCCGCCCCACAGAATCCTTAACTTCACCTATGATGTTGGCTTCCTCCAGTCTTGGCTTTTTCCTCTCACAATCAGATTTTCCTTAATGATTCCTCTCTTCCCTAAGAATTAAGGCAAGACCACATGAGGGCTTGAGGTTAGGAGTAAAAAAGGGGGACTGGGGTTGTGGCTCAGCGGTAGAACGCTCACCTAGCATGTGCAAGGCCCTGGGTTCGATCCTCGGCACCATATAAAATAAATAAATAAATAAACAAACAAATAAATAAATAAAGGTATTGTGTCCAACTACAACTAAAAAAAAAAAAAAGAACTAAAAAAGGACTTTCCACACAAGAGCAATGAGAGGGTGTGAGGAGATTCAGGGATAGTGGACTGAGAGAGCCCAATTTCCCCTGTGCCTGTATTTCTGAATCTGGGATGTGGTCTCTGCTGGGATGCAGGGGGCTGGCTGATTTGCCCTCTCCAGGACCCAATGACTGTTTCTTCCTTTTCCTTCCTAGGGGGATGGAGGGTGCCCTCTAGTGTCCAGATGGAGAATCTAGATTTAAGAACCAATTTGGTCCTCTGCACCTCTGACCTCAGCTGCCTGGGGGAAAAGAGAGAAGCTTAAAACCTCCATAGAAGGGGCCTGAAGGCAGAGGTTCCAGGTCCAAAAATCTCCATGGACCATCCTAAAACCCACAGAATTCTGGGAAGAAAGATCTCACCCCTCACACAGTTATTTCTTCCAGTCTGGCCATGGAAGGCTGTGCCACATCTATCTACAGCTATCTATCCACATCTATCCCTCCTACTGCACCCTAAACTTTGTGGTATCATTATTTATGGGAATGACAAACAGCAGACTATCCCTGCTTGAAGTATTTAACCCTTAAATCCAAACAAGATAGCTTGGGTCACCTGTCTGCATCTCTGACAGTGAGGGGACCAGAGGACTGGAATTGTTAACTCAGCTCCAACTGAGACCCCAAGAGCAGGGAGAGGGAACCCGTCTCCCAGGACACAGGGAGAGGGGTCAAGTCTCCCAGGACAAGCAGGAGGGCACCGCGTCACATGACAAGACTACCAAGGAGCAACATTAACCCCCAGCACTCCTGAATGCTGGCACTGGGCTCTCCAGGCATTTTCTCATAATCTTATTTGAGGTAATCTACATAATGTCACTCATCCACAACATCTCCTTCAGCAAGGTATGGGCTGAGTATCTAAACCATATGTTGAGTCATTGGAAGAGTTGTTCTAGTCCAGTGCTCTCTCCACTATGCTATGGTGACTCAGAAAGCTTGGCCTCAGTCATCAGAGTAGCTCTTTCTCCAGGACATCCAGACAGACACTCAAAGCCTGCGTTGGTTAGTTTGCCGTGAGGGAATGGAACCCAGGGTCTCACATGTGCTAGGCATGTGCTCTACCACAGAGTTAGACCTCCAGCCCATCAAAGCTTGTGTTTTGATTCCCTGTCTTCTATCCCTAGCTGGGCAGAAGATAAGCTATGGCCAGGGTCTGGAGGGGCCCTGGGAACGTCCGCCCCCTCTGGATGAGCCTCAGAGAGATGGAACCTCTGAGAACCAACTGGAAGACGCAGCACTAAATGGTAAAGTTTTGAGCCTGGGACGAAGAGTTGGAGTGGGAAACTTGGGGGGTGGGGCCAGGCCCTGACTTCCTCTCTATTTGCTTTGCAGAGCCAGGGGAGGAGCCTCAGCGCCCAAGCCCTCCTGAGCCTGGCACTTAAGTTCCCAATCATGCCTCTCCCCAGAGGAAGTGGAGGGGGCACCGCTGTTCCCTAGAAGCCCACTCTGCCCTCATCCTGTTTTGTACCCTTCCCCTCACCTGCTAGGGCTGCAGCTTCTAAGTTCTAGAAGACTAAGGCTGGTCTGTGTTTGCTTGTTTGCCCGCCCTTGGCTGATGCCCAGAGTCTCTGATGCCTATCCCTGCCAGATGTTCCTCCATTCACCCAGTGGGAGGTGGGATATGAGCAAGCCCACGCTGGAAAAATCAGAAACCCAAAACAAGGATTGCCCCTTTATAATTCCACTCCTCAGATCCTCTCCCCTGGGCACAGGAGACCCACAGGGCAGGACCCTAAGATCTGGGGAAAGGAGGTACTGAGACCCTGCAGGTGCCCTTAGATCTTTCTCCATCCCCTCTTCTTTGGAAAACTCCAAGTCACTACCCCTTTCACTGGCTTCTACCAGGACCCAGGACAAGACTTTTTCTCCACAGCCTCCACATTTTGGAACTCTTCCCTTTATCACCCCTGCTCCTCCTGGGTGCCTGGAAGATGGACTGGCAGAGGCTGCTTTGTTGCATTTTGTTTGTGCTTTGATGCCAGGAATGCCACCTAGTATATGTCCTTAGAAGGGGCACACGTTGGGGGGGGGGCGCCAGGATTTCCTTGTCCTCCGGCTGTTCTGTCCCCTTCTCCTTCTTCCCTGACTCTAGACCTGAAACTCCCCCATGCTGTAATAAATCTTTGTAAATAACTGTGCTGAGACTCCTCTTTCAGGGGAGGGAGGAGAAGAAGGGAAGTAATGGAGTGTTCTGATATAGAAGGTTGGTAGTCATCCAAGGGTCAGGACCTTCACCCTACTGTCCAGTCCTCTGGGAGTTTTTCTGGAGATAACAGGCTGAGACACTCAGGAGGGCCCACAGAAGTTCTGACTACTGCTATAATGGCTGAAAGGTGGGGTGGTGGAGAATAGAAGTCCATCAAGAGTAACTGTGGCTTTCTCCAAGGGACTGGCTCTTCATTCTCACAGATCTCCCCGCAGGCAGTTCCACAATGCCAGACCTGTGAAGTCCAATACCCATGCTATTTCCCATTCTCCCGGCCTTAGGGAGGCTTCTCACCGCCCCCCACCCCCAGTACTGGGCATTTACTGGGGCGGGGGCTGTCGGGAGAGAGGATTTTACATTCCCAGTCCTTTTTATTTTATTTTTTGGTTCTGGGGATTGAACCCATGGATGCTCTAACACAGCTATAACCTCAGCCCTTTTTGTTTTATTTTGAGGCACGATCTAAGTTGCCCTGGCTGGTTTCAAATGTGCAGTCATTCTGCCTCGGCCTCCAGGGTCGCTGGGATTACAGGTGTGGGTCACCGCGCCTGGCTGGAAGACCCTCTTTAAACCTAACACACTGCAACTTTACTTCGAGCCCTTCTCCCTGGGGGCGTGGGCTGGGGGCGGGGCTGGGGGAGGGGCTGCAGTCGAACGCAATTCCTAGTTTGCTCTTGGGGGCGGGCTCAGCGGCGGAAGTGGCGGGGCTGGAGATCTCCTTCCGTTCTGAGGCGCTGCGGTGGCCCCGGAGCCGGACTACAGTTGGGGCTGGAGAGTGAGGCGGTGCTGAGATGGAGCAGGTGGGTCCTGCAGAGGTCACTGGGACCAGGTGGTGGTACGAGGGCTATCTCTTGCGGATACCGCTTCGCTGCCCGATGTCCGTTCTCGATTCCGTCCGACCTTTCTCACGCCCCCCGCACTCCAGGTTCCGCCCCCTTCTAGCCCCCGGCTGCACTTTTCCGCGCGCAGTGTTGGGGGTCTCAGACTCTGACCTTCGGAAGCCACGCCTAGAAGGCCGGGATAAGGACCCGGGAGGGCGTCCGGGATTGACTTCCAAAGCCTCTCTCTTAACTGTGAGGGCAGAGACGAGGGGACTGTATCTAGGTATTGGAGGCGGGAGGGGGGAGGGGTCAGAATCTGGAGAAAAACGTACACATTCCGTTAGGTTTGCAGTCTGCGTCTCCCTGTCATCCGCTGCCTCCCCAACTTCCTCTGGAAACGGCTGTGAATAACTTCCTGTATTCAAAGGGCCCTTTAAAGTATCTTTCTTGAGTTCTTAGAGGTCACAATACCGTTGACAATTGTTCCTAATTGACAGGTGTCCCTCCCCCATACCTTTGGCTTCCAGCGCATCTCCAGATTTCTTCCTTCTAATCCTCTGACATGAGGGCAGAAGTACCGCTTCATATTCTGCCCTGTTGCCCAACCCCTCTCTCTATGCACTGCTTCTGGATGGTTTCTTGTACTCATATAGCATCAGCTTTACCCCAGCTCAGTACCTAAATCACTGGCACGACCTCTCCGTGGATCTCCAGACTAGACTGTCCAGTTGCCAGCGGGACACCTCCCCTTCAGATAGAATTCACTGGGTCTAAATTTGAACTGATGTTTTCCTGCAGATTCATTCTTCCTCTGCTAGCCAACTCTAGCAAGAAACTTGGGGATTATCTTCCATTTCTTCTTTTCTGTCAATTCCTACATCTCAGAAGTGACCTGGTACAGCTCACTTCCTGACCCTCTTACTCCGTCTTCTCCACTGTTACCACTCTTGTTGACTTATTTCTCACCAGGTTGACTGTATTAGCTTCCCATAATCTTCCAATCACAACTACTTGCAACCCAGTCTCCAGTTTTGCAAACCATTTAGAACACAAGTCTGATTGTGTTGCTTCCTTGCTTAGAACTCTTTTATGGCTTTCCATTGCCTGCAGAAAAAGGCTGAATCTCTGGCGTGACTAACAGAGCTCTTTGTAATCTGACGTCCTCCCTAGTAATCTCCTGTGTGCATCCTAGGGTCCAGTAACATTGTGCTACTGGATGTGCCTTGCTGTTCATGTTTCTCTGCCATTGCACACACCAGTAGTTGCACACTACTTGTCCTTTAGTGACTTGCTTGTCATTTCTGCATCACTGCTGCCTCCACCCTGCAAGGTGAATTGCCCCTCTGTGTCCCCTTAGCACTCTGGCCATAATAGCATTGTGGCTGAGAATTATAGGTTCCTGAATCAGACTGCTTGGGTTCTTTTTTTTTTTTTTTTAAAGATTTTTTTTAAAGATAGACACAATATCCTTACTCTGTAATTTTATTTATTTTTATATGGTGCTGAGGATCGAACCCAGTGCCTCACATGTACCAGGCAAGCACTCTACCACTGAGCTATAACCCCAGTCCCCAGACTGCTTGGGTTCTGATACTGTTTTGTAACCTTGTTGAAGTCAGTGCCTCAGTTTCCTCATTTGTAAAGTAGAGAGAATAATGTGCCTTCCTCATAAGAGTTGTTGTGAGGCTTAATTGAAAGTGTATGTACAGTGCTTAAAACTGTCAGACACATGAATGCTCAATAAATTAATGTTAGTTATTATGATTACCTAAGAACAATCTCGCCTATTGCCTTGGTGCATACCTGTAATCCCAGTGATTTCAGAGACTGAGGCAGGAGGATCTGCAGGTTTGAGGCCAACCTGGGCAACTTAGTAAGATCCTGTCTCAAAATAAAATAAAAAGGGCTGGGAACGTCCCTCAGAGCACTTGCCTAGCATTTGGGAGGCCTTGAGTTCAATCACCAGTAATGTTAAAAAAAAAAAAAAATAGTGTAGTTCAAGTCTAGTTCACTGGCTCTGATTTTTAATTTCATAGGCAGCTTGATGGTAGTAGGTGTGGCTTGCTTCTCACTCTTTCCTGGGGCCATAAAGTCTGGCTCTTTGTCAATAAATAAAATGCTGGGGTGGAGGGCATGGGGGCAGGATCTGGATTTATCAAGTGAGGATTTAATGGTGAAAAAGGCCTAGACTTGATATCAGTCTGCTCAGGAAAACAAAGCTGAAAAGGGAAAATGTTACATGGTAAGCATTAATTCTACAGAAATGCTGGGAACTGAGGGAGAGAAAGGCCAAATGCACCTTCCCAGAGGAGATGACAATTAGTGAGGGGCGTTAAAATGAGAGTATAAATTTACAAGAGAGAGGCAGGCATAGGCTGGAACATGCTCGGAGAAGGGAGAGCTGGGTCCTTGGAACAAAGCTCCAGTGGGTGCTGTAGGGTGAGGGGAGAAGGGAGGTGAGCTGAAGAAGACACAGGTAGCATCCTCTGCTGAGTCTTTTTCTCACTTGGCTGTGAGGAAGTGCCCCTGGCTTAGGAGCCAGGGTTACTCTGGGGAAGTCTGAAGTACCTGGTATTTGGAGACAGGCTCCATGGGGTGGGGTCCCTTTGCATGCCTCTGGTTGGGTCTAGGCCAGTGTCAGGACTTTTGTTCCTGCTCTTGTGCCTGCCTGGGATGCCCTTCCTCCTTGCCTCTGGCTGATAGCTGCTGATTCTTAAGGCCTGGGCTTTGATGTCCTCTCTTCCCTGACATCCCCTACTCCAGCCCTGGGATCCCACAGTCCTTTGTTCATTCCTCCCTGAAAATGCTGATTTCAGCGTGAACCACACATTTATCTGTAAATCTTCCTCCCTGAATTAGAGCCCCTGATGGAAAAGAACAGGGTCCTGCAACCCCAGGGACTGACCTGGTATCTAGCACGCTGTAGGCTCTCCATACCTGGGGGTTGCATTCACTTGAGCTCCCACACACCTAGGTTTGTTTGGGAGGGTAGTGTGGGTGAGGCCACTAATCCTGCACATTTGGCAGCTCACCCTTGTTCAGTTGAGTGGTGGAGCTTATTGGCTCCATTTTATAGATGAGAAAGCTGAGAATCAGGGTCACTCAGCAGGAATTTGAAGAACTGTCTCCTGACTCCAGGACCACAATTTCTCTCAGAAATTGCTTCAGGTCCCACCTTCGAAGGGGGCAGAGGATAAGGTGGTTATCCCACACGGCCAGTTGTGTGTCCTTCTGAACTTTGGCTGGGAAGAAGTTAATACTGGCCTTTGTGCTGGGAGGAGCCTATGCTGACCAGAGGCTCCCCCACCCCCACCTTTGCTGGAGAGGATTGAGAGGTCTGCCCTCTGCATGACTAGCTCTTTCCAGACTGACGTTGGGGACTGGGCTTCCTCAGCCCTAGTTTTACCTAACAGCATTAAGGAGTGAGACTGGGCTTGACTCACTGGCCTCTGAGTAGGCCCAGGGTCATGGGGTCACTGAACTGGGGGCATCCCTGACATTCAGCCCGGCCTCACATGGGAGGAGGTGGGAGGGCTGTGCAGATCCTCTTGTTGGGGTTTTTCAGTGAACTGCTCCAACAGAACCTCCCTCTACAGGGAGGAGGGGTGTTCAGTGAAGAATCTGGCTTCTGTTTCCACTTGACTCTTCCACTTCCCCAGAAGGAAGGAGAAACACAGCCAGGCCTTGGCTCTGTGCTCTTATTTGCCATGCCCTCCACTCCTTAAATTTCCACTTCTCTGGGCAACTTTCCAAACCTTCTATGGGAGAACAGGTAGGGGCTAGAAGGCCAGCTGTTCCCAGGCTGAGGGCAGGAGCCACTGAACCCTGAATTACAGGAAAACTCAAAATGTGCCGTCCCTGGCCAGCTGCCTGAGGCTAGGGCCCTTCCTGTCTCCAGCAGGACTGGTGAACTCTCAGTTTGGGCAGAGTACTCTGCTGGACATGCCTGTCCAGGGCCCTGCCTCTCATGCCATATCCATAGAGGGCAGTACTAGTAGTAGTAGCTACCATTAATTAAGCACAGACGCTGTGCATATAGAGTTTCTAATTCTTTTAAGCTCTGTGAATTGTGCACTATCTTATCCTCATTTTATAGATAAGGAGACAGAGATTCAGAGAGCCTCAGTGATTTGGTCAAGGGCACACAGTCTAATAAGGAATGAGCTTGGGCTTTTGATTCCAGATCTGGTGCTGACCCCAAGACTTGCACCCTCTCTCTGTTCCAGGGTAGACATTATGGACATACACATCAACTAACTTACTAGACATGTGCTATGGCCAGGCACTGTGGCCTGGGCTTCAAGGGCTTGAGAAGAGACAGCCTTTTGGCTCAGGTGTGCTGTGGATAAGGGAGGTGCTGACCCAGAGTCGTGAGAGGTTGGGGGAGCTTGGGTGGTAGAGAAAGCTTTGCCTAGGAGGTATCACTTGAACTCGTCTCTGAAGGGTCTGAGTTGTCCCCTAGTGGACATTCCAGAATGAGGAAGCAGAAGGATAAACAACTGTGGTGTGACCTGGGGTCAGGAAACTATGGAGGAGTGCTGAGGCCCTGCTGAGGGGACAGGCATCATCAAAGGAATTCAACTCAGTTTGAGTCTTCTCCTTGCACGTGGGGACCCAGGGGAGGGAGAGGAGCAGCCATCCTGCCTCAGAGTGCCCAGAGAACCAGTTTCCCTTGCCTGCTGTGGAGGGGCTGTGTGGGCTCTGGGCAGGGCAGGCCACCAGATGAGGGCAAAGTCCAGCTGCAGGAGAAGCTGTCAGGACAGGGAGGGGTCAGGTGTGAGTGTCCAGTGTACCTGTGCACCTGCCCCTGGAGAGAAGGATGTAAATCCTGGTTCACATTTCCGGAACATCTCCTGTGAGCCTGGTATGCTTCTGGTACTGGGCACTCAGCAGTGAGCAAAGATAGGAGTCCCTGCATTCCAGTGGAGAAGATGGGTGGTAAACACAGACCAGCAGGGCTCGGGGGTAGTCATGCACAT